CATCATCATCATCATCATCATTTTCGTCATCGTCATCGTCATCGTCATCGTCGTCATCATCATCATCATCATCGTCATCATCATCATCATCATCATCATCATCATCACCAGCTTGCCTCCAGGATGCAGTGGGTTTCTCGGCCTCGATGTTTTTTCGGTGGGAAGCGTGACGCTCTCACACCAAAAAGCCATGGACGCCCTGGGGTCTCAGGGCTTAGTTTTCCTGTGGAAGGCTTCATGTGTCATGGCGGCAACATCGCAGAGCGGATTTCGCTCGGAAACGACACGATGGGCCTGGAGTGTCCTGGAGAGTTTCGTTCTGGATTTCGAGGTGAATTTCGTGCGTTTTTTTTGGCCAGGGATGAAGACCCAACAAAAATCCACGCGAAATTCACGTCGTTTTTCACTCGCCGTTTCGGGCAAAAATCAACGCATAAATCCACGCAGAGATCCGCTGCAGCACGTCTGCAAGGCAGGTGCAATGAGAAGGATGGGGTTGCGAGATATGATCAGATCGTCCGTATTATCGCGTATGTCGAGTATGCGTGTTACACAGTTGCGCCCCGTATCTTCCCAGTCCCGATCTTCCCAAACAGAGAATTGTCTTCCTGGACTAGGGGTTGTGGCTCGGTGTGCGCGAATCTGGCGTAATTCACTTGGGGTTGTGGCCTCGTGAGCGTAAGCGCGTAGTAATTCACAACAAGTTCTGGTTTCGGGTGCGCGAACTCGTTGTGCTGTACAAGTCATTGTGGCATCGGGAGCGCGAGCCTGTCGTCATTCGCGATGGGTTTTGGCTTGGTGTGCGCGAATCTGGCGTAGTTTCCTTGGGGTTGTGGCCTCGGGAGCGTAAGTGCGCAGTAGTGTACAAGATGCTCTGGCCTCGAGGACGCGAGCTTGCTGTCACGTGCAGAAAGGATTGTGGCATCGGGAGCGCGAACCTGACGGCATTTACGAGGGGGTGTGGCTTGTGAAGCGCGAGCGTGGCGTACTTTACGAGGGTTGTGGCCTCGGGGGTCGAGGGGTTGTGGCCTCGGGGGCGCGACTCTGGTGTATTTTACGTGCCCAGGGCTCCCTAAGAATTTTGAGAACCCCGAGGGGAGGTGGTTTTATGCCGGTTGTCGGGCTCCCCCCTCGCACAGTCTTCAATCATTACAGCACGTGGAGCTAAACGCTATAACATCTATGACTATAACCGGGAGCACCTAGTCCTCGCAGTCTGATGGTCCCTCAAAGGGGGCTGGCGGGTCTGTTTACGTATGTGCATTCGTTCATATATTATGTTGCTGTTTCTGGAGGCTTCTGGACGCATCTGTAGGTTTGCGATTTTCAGAGGCTTCAGGGGACTTCCGGATTCCTCCAGAGAGCATCATGAGGAGGAGGCGGAGGAGGAGGACCATCGGGTCGCCTGCAGCCACCTCACCTTTGGAGTGGTGGCTCTTGGACTAGCCATTTTGGCTGTCCGCCGCCCGCTGCTGCGTCGGGTTTTCCTGACCACGTTGTTTGTCGCCGCCTTCGCTGGCTGCATCGCTACCGCGTCTAGATCCTCGGGGCATGCGATGGCCATGCCCCTGCCGAGAGGTCCGGCAAGGCTTGGGTGCGGGGTGTCATTGGCGTGCGCCCCTACGAGGCCGCTTTCACCTCGCCGCGCAGAACCTTCCAGGATTCGGTTATGAAAGAAATCATCTTTTGGTTCCCACCATCCAAAGCGGGGTTCTTGTTTTCTCTGCACTCCCCCGCGCAGGATCTCTTCCTCCTCCCCCTCTGTTCCCCACGCTCTGACGCACTCACTCACGCACTCACGCACTCACGCACTCACGCACTCACGGACACATGTTCTCATCATCGCCATCACCATCATCAGCCACTCACTCACTCACTCAGTCACTCAGTCAGTCAGTCAGTCACTCACTCACTCACTCACTCGCTCAGTCACGTTGACGCACCCCCATCAGCGAGGAACTCGTTGCCGAGTAGGCCAACGGGGATGCGCATAAGAACGAACGTGTACGGGCGTGGGCGGAAATAAAAAATGCCTGTAGGTGACTTTCCACCCCTGTCCAAGGGTGTGGCCGTTAGGGGGATGCCAAGCCCATCCCGGCGAGCAAAGAACCGTGCGCGAGGGCAGGGCCTCGCTGCTCGGGGCCACGACAGGACGGCGCCCCCAGCAAGCCCAGTGACATTGGCCCTTCCACTCTTTGGATTTTTCTGCCTCAGTGCTCTGGCTACGCGTCTCGCTGGCCCAGAGTCAGGATTGCGGGCAAGCAGGCCCAGGATTGGTGGTGGTGGTGGTGGTGGTCTGGGCGCGCCTCCAGGGGGAGGCCTTCGAGCCACCTGGGGCGCTCCAGGGAGGGCGCCGCCTTCGCGTGCTCGAGGGGTGGGAGGGGGATTTCCAGAGCTGGCCTTTCGCGCGCCAGGCGGAGCCGTCGAAGCTGCCGCCCCTGGGGACGAAGGTGGAGCAGCTGAGGGCCGTGAAGGCGGAGCTCCTCGCGGCCAAGAGGGAGCCCAGCTCGGGGGCGGTTAGCAGCCTGCTGCAGCGCGGGCTGGCCATCCGGAGGGAGCAGGCCAAGAAGCCTGCCAAGGTCGGATGGCGCCAACGGAGCTCCAGGCCTCCCCAATTGGGTCCGAGTGGATGGGGTCGGAAGATCGCGCCGCATCACCGATGCATCACCGATACAGCTCGATGTGGAGCCCGACTTTCTCCGCGCCAGCGTCGCCGATGCATCGCCGACGTCGCCGATGCATCACCGATGCATCGCTGATACATCGGCAATGCGGCACGCTCCTCCGACCCCATCTACGTACTCGGACTCTGCTTGGGAGCCCTTGAGAAGCACCCCCGCCAGTCCAGGCCTTCCAAGATCCCAGGCCCAAGATGGGGCGGGCGAGGATCGGTGTCCGCGTGCCGTTGGCGCTCTCTCCTGCAAGGTGAAGGGGGAGTGGGGCCAGAAGTCCGCAGCGAAGGTCAAGAAGGAGCTCGGGGGCTGCCAAGATTTGATGTCCTTGCCGAAGGGCAGTGCCCCGTGCTCGTCGCGGCTTCCAGGGCCCCCCTGGGGCCCTCTGGGCCGCGCGAGGGGGTGCTCTGGAGGCCAACGTCCCTTGGTGCCTGGGTGAGGGCCCCAGGAGGCCGGACATGGCAACAAGCGTTCCGTAGCGCTTCAGGTGGCTTATGCCACTCCGCCCAACCCCGGAGGAACAAGACGAGGTCCGCGGGTGAGGCCGCCTTGTGCCTCTCGGGAACCGCTGGAGGGGCCTCTTGGGGCATCGTTATGACCTCCTGGGGGCCTGCAGGCCATCCGCCATGATTTTTGTCCGATGCGTTTCGGGCCTGGCTGAGGGCCTGTCGCATCGAGGGAGGAGAGGGAGGGGGAGGAGGAGAAGGAGGAGGAGGAGGAGGAGGAGGAGGGGAGGAGGAGGAGGAGGAGGAGGAGGAGGAGCGGCACCCGCGGGCAGGAGCGGAGCCGCAGAGCCGACGGCCGCCCGCGCAAGAAGCAGAAGGTCACGGCCAAGCGCCGGAACGCCAGCCGGCGCGCGATGGAGCGGGAGCTGCCGCTGTCGCCGGAGCTGGCGGAGCTCGAGGGGAGAAGCTGGCCCAGACTCCTCCTCCTCCTCCTCCTCCTCCTCCTCCCTCCCTCCTCCCCCTCCTCCTCCTCCTCCTCCTCCTCCTCCCTCCTCCTCCTCCTCCTCCTCCTCCTCCTCCCTCCTCCTCCTCCTCCTCCTCCTCCTCTCCTCCCCCTCCTCCTCCTCCTCCTCCTCCTCCTCCTCCTCCTCCTTCTTCTCCTCCTCCTCCCCCTGGAGAACACCTGGACCCAGACCCCCTCGAGTTGCGACGAAAATCACGACGGCAGGCTTTGCGCTATTTTCGATCTTTTGGGGGCCCTTGCCGGGCCTCGGGGCCGTCCAACAACGACTCAGGATGAGAGGCCGGTCGCGGGGAATGGGTCCGGACCTCTGGGGGTCGGGTCATGAAAAAAAGGAGGCTTCGGGCTGCGTTCGGTGGCAAGTCATGGGAGCTTGGTTCCGTCTTTAGCGTCGATGAGCGTCGATTAGCGTCTGGAGTCGATGAGATAACACCGATTTACCGTCGGTTAGCGTCGATTAGCGTCGATTTAGCGTCGATGAGCGTCGATTCAGCCGACAAGATGGCATGGGAGGCTCCCATGAGTTGTCGCCGAAGCTTGCGCGCAGACAGCCCACTCTCAGGCAGTCCACGGCTGGCCTCAACAGGCCTCCCCAGCAGTCCTTGCTGGCCTCAGCAGGGCCCCTCCAGGGCAGTCTCAAGACCCTGGCGCCGCCTCCGGCGGCGCCCCTGGGGGCGCCCCGCGCTCCCGGGTTGAGGTGTTGAGACCGCTCCGGACCATTCGGGGCTCGGACTACTCGGGAGGCCTGTTGAGGCCAGCCGGGACTGCCTGGGGGGGCTGTCTGCGCGCAACCCAAAGCCTTACGACCAGAAGAAGCACACCGACAATGACCAGGATGTCGGGGGATCTCGGCGACGCCGACCCTGGTCACGGCCCATTGCCGGCCGTCGCCGATTCGCCAGGCCGATCTGCGGACTGGCGCTGACCAAGATGGACGGTGACCAAGATCGACACGACGCTTCCGCGTTTGGTCGGCGATCGCAGTTCGATCCATACCCCTGCGGCTGCCCCCCACTCTGGGCACCAGGTGCAGCAGGGCATGGATGAATGAGATGTCTCCTCGGAGGCCAGAATCTTCTCCGCATCCCCGCTCTGGCCCCTCGTGGGGGTTGGGGCCCCAGACCCCGGACGTCATGATTTTTTCATGACGCGATCCCTTGAGGTCTGGACCCATTCACCGGGACCGGCTTTTCATCCTGAGTCGTTTTTTGACGGTCCCGAGGCCGGGTACGGGCCCCCAGAGGCCGAACATAGCGAAAACTTCCCCGTCGTTTTCTTCTTATGACGCGAGGGGGTCTGGGGCGTGCACATGGGCACGGAGGACAATGCCGATCACCCGTTTAGTCTTGGCCACTGCCCACGTATCCTCCCCCTCCAGGAGCTGCTGGGTTCGGACGCACTCTCGCGCCCCGAGGCCGTGCGGCGCCTGTGGAGCCACTGCAAGGAGAGCAGCCTGCTCCTCCTCCTCCTCCTCCTCCTCCCTCTTCTCCTCCTTCTCCTCTCCCTCCTCCTCCTCCTCCTCCTCCTCCTCCTCGTCCTCCTCCTCTTCACTTGCACAGTCTGAATGCTGCTCCCCTCTGTCCCCCAACTGTGTCCGGAGAGTGTCCCATCCTCTCCGCGTATTTCTATATTTACACACAAGAATCAATTTTTTACGATGTGTTTTTTCAATATGGTCGTTTCTGGTTCTTCCAAGATGGTGCTCCCGCTGCGGCGCCGCCCTCATGTCCGCGCTTCGGTCATTCAAAACCGTTCTCCCGCTGCAGCACTTGCTTCGTTCCCGCTGGTCTCCCTGAGCTCCCTGTGCTCCGGGGAGTCCAGAGAGACTTGGAAGGGGGTCCAGAGAACGCGAGGCAGCGCGTCGAAAGGAGGGGGTCGGCCTTCAAACATTACACGATCCCTAGCGAACGGCACTTGGCATTCGAAAGCGCCCACATCGGGCAGGCACGGTGATGTAGGACATGGAGCCGGCATTCCAGACAGGCCCTGTCCTCTCATAGACGGGTCACTTACCCTCCAAGTCATCCGGTGTCATGTCACGACATGCGCTGCGATGCTGTGTTCTGCACCGCTGTGCGATCCCATGCTTTGCGTTGCTATGCTTTGTGATGCACTGCTTCAGTACGCAATTCCATGCCATGGCATGACGCGCTATGATCTGCCATGCTCTTCTACGCCATGCTTTTCCATCCATCGCGTACCCTCTTGGGGCCAATTGCCCTGCTCGACATCCGACAGCAATAGATGGGATATCTACGCCATTATACGGGATGGGAGGGAGAGGTAGGACGTCAGATGTGACGCTAGCGCACCTAGTTTGTTTTCCTCTCCCTCTTCCTCCCACTCCTCCTCCTCCTCCTCCTCCTCCTCCTCCTCCTCCTCCTCCTCCGCCTACTCCTCCTCCTCCTCCTCCTCCTCCTCCCACTCCTCCTCCCCTCACGGGTCCCTCCTTCCTCAGGATCATTATCCTTCTCCCTCTCCTCCTCCCTCTCCTTCGCCCTCTCGTCGTCCTCATGTCCCTGCCCCGTCCCCTCCTCATCCTCCCGGTACCTTTTTTTGGGTCCGCCCCGTTTTCGCCTCTTTGGACCCCCTCGGAGGCCCGTCGTCGCTTCGAAGCTCTGGTCGGAACGCACCCGGGGAGAGTTCCAGGGAGCAGCGAGCGGTACTCTTTCGGTATGCCCAGAAAGGAGAGGGGGATGTTGAATCCGGCCAACAAGCGGGAGATCAGGTTCGACCCCTGCCTGCAGAAGATGCTGGGCCAAAAGACCGCCGTGATGCCGCAGCTGATCAGTCTGCTGAGCCCCCATTTCGACTACGCCGGCGCCGATGTCAAGGCCGAGGCCAAGCACGAGCCGGGCGCCAAGAGGGAGGCGAAGGCGGAGCTGAAGAGGGAGGCGAAAGCGGAGGTGAAGAAGCAGGAGCTCAAGGAGGAGCTCAAGGAGGAGCTCAAGGCCGAGATGGCCAAGGCTTCCGTCGGGCATGCCCCCCTACAGGAGGAGTATCCAAAGCTGGTCGAACAAGAAGTCTGGGGACGATTTCTGGACTATTTCTATTCTTTTTGAGTTTTTTGTTGCTGTTTGTTTTCTTTTGTTTTCACTTTTCGTCGAAACGATCCGCCCGTAGGAGGACACGCCCGACCTGTAGGCCAAGGCGGAGCCGCCCGGTGCCGAGCCAGGCTCGCGGGAGCGACCGGCCGGCAGCGCCGCCGCGCGCGCCCCGCGGGCCCGCGCGTGCTCGGGCGGCGGGGCCCTTCGGGCCGCCGAGGGCCTGAAGGCGGAGGACGCCGGCGCCGCGCTGCTCGAGGGGGCCGCCAGGGAGGTGGTGGAGGAGGCCCTCGGCAGGAGCGCCACGGAGCTTCGGGTGGCGAAGTTGAGAAGATTTTATTATATGTACGGATGGTTTTCCGATATCCCTGAAGACGTGGACATGTAAATACGAGATGCACATTCAGAGATAAGCACGTCAGAGTTATTACGTATGTTGACGCATTTAGTTATCGGGGCGCCACGGAGCTTCGGGTGGCGAAGTCCCAGACCCCCGCGGGTCATGAGACAGTCACGGCGGGAGGCTTTTCGCCATTTGCTGGCCTCGGGGGGCCCTTGCCGGGCTTCGGGAGCTCGGATCCCCAGAAGAACCAGGGCTATCTCAAGCGTCTTCCTACTTCAAGGATCGATGCGGTCTGGCTGTTGTTTGTTATTGTGGTGGCCTCCGGCCAGTGCCGCCGATCTGGGGCGCTTCCGTTGCTGCCCGAAACGCGCGATGGCGGTCATGACCGGCGACGACGGCGAGCGGTGAGGATGATGAGGAGGATTGGGAATGGAGGCAGCGGATAATGATGATGATGATGATGATGATGATGATGATGATGATGATGATGATGATGATGATGATGATGATGATGATGATGATGATGATGATGATGATGATGGTGATGGTGATGGTGATGATGATGATGAGGATGATGATGATGGTGATGATGATGGTGGTGATGGTGATGACGATGATGATGATTAAGAGGACGATGATGATGATGATGATGGTGATGACGATGATGAGGAAGAGGAGGAGGAGGAGGAGGAGGAGGAGGAGGAGGAGGAGGAGGAGGAGGAGGAGGAGGAGGAAGAGGACGAGGAAGAGGAGGAGGAGAAGGATCATGACGAGGTGGAAAAGGGGGGTGGAGGGGGAGGGGCAGGAGTAGCAGGATGCTGAGGATGAGGAGGTGCAGGAGGAAACGGGAAGTGGAAAAGGGGGAGGGGGGAGAAAGAAGAGCGTGACGATGGTGAGGAGATTTATGGCGGTTGTTGGAGATGCTCGGCGGTTGTTGGAAAGCCTCTTTGGGGCTAGGTGTTGGCCCTCTTTGGGTTGACACGTCGCCGATTTGGCGCACTCTCGGATAAGTTTTGTGCTAGTGCTGCGTGCGTCACAGTTTTTTGTGGAGCCTTGTGCATCACCCGTCTCTGCTGGGAACCACGGTGTTTTGGGGGTCTCTGGGGCCTTGGCGCGGTCCTCTGCGGGAGCTTGTGAGATCATGGATGTGAAGGACACCGAAGACGGGATAATATGTGAAACCACGGAAAAAAAACGTTTTTTTTTTTTTTTTTTTTTTTTTTTTTTTTTTTTTTTTTTTTTTTTTTTTTTTTTTTTTTTTTTTTTTTTTTTTTTTTTTTTTTTTTTTTTTTTTTTTTTTTTTTTAAAAAAAAAAAAAAGAAATAAATAAATAAATCATTTTATATATATATATATATATATTGTTTTTATTATATTATATATCTTCATATATATATATATGGTATTGCAACGCTTGCGTGCAGACGTAAGCGTCGTGGAAGCAATGGGACTGGTTTTGGGCTTCGCGGGTGGAGTCTTGGAGGCAGCTTGGAGGCCTGTAGGAGTCGTTTGGGATGCATGTTTTGAGATTCCTGGGGGCCTTTAGAGGGCTTCAGTGAGCCTCTTCGGGGCCAGTTGGAAGCGTTTTGGGGCCTCTTCAGGCCTCTTGGGGGCTTCTGGGGGCCTGCTAGGGGCTTCTTGGGCCGTCTTCGGCACTTCTTCCGCCGTCTTTGCGCCCTCTCAGGCGCCTCTTGGGCCCGTCCTGGGGCCCTCTTGGGCCTTTCTGGAGCCTCCTGGGCCATCTTGGGCCCTTTTCGGGCCGGCTTGTAGCCCTCTTGGTGGCTTCTTGGGCCGTTTTGGGTTTTTTTGGGGGGGCGTCTGCGACGCTCTGAAGGCCCAAGAGGCGACTGTGCTACAATTTTAGGTTTCCCCAGGAAATGGGACACTTTTGCTTATTTTGGCCTTCTCCGTTTCAGGGCTTCTGAGGGCATCTTGGAGGCTTCTGGAGCCGACTTGGGGACATCTTTGGCGTCTGGTAGCGATCGTTCGGCGACTCGGGGTCCTCTTGGCCCATGTTGGGGCCCTCATGGGCGAGGGGGCCGTCCCGGAGTGAGCTGGAGCTCCGATTGTGCCCCGGGAACTACATCGCCCCCCCCAACCTCCCATCCCCCCTACCCTTGCAGAGCCGCCCCGGCACCAACCCCCCAGTAGAGCTGAAGCTTAGGAATTGAGGCTCAGGCTGTTCTGAGGGTCTTTGAAACTCACACGCCGGATCGGCAGATTCTTTGCGCGGGCCCGAACCCCATCTATTTCATCCGCCTTCTGCGTCGTGTTTCTATCTAGTTCTTCCGACTGGCGTGTATACAGATCCGCTGCTCCCTGGGCAAACCCATCCTGAACCCAGGAGCTGTGCACACGGCCTCTTCAGACAGCCAGGAGGGCGCGGCGTATGCACCGCTGCTGGGTTCAGGGTTGGCCTGGCCAGGGAACCGTGGATATGTGTAGACTTCATCGCCCTAGGAGCTGCTGTCCTTCGACGACTCCAGCGCGACGGTGCGATGCAGAGCGCCCCCGGGCAGCTTCGCTCTCGAGGTCGGAGAGCGCCAAATACGCACCCTCACCCATCCTGGCCAGAGATCGCTGCACGTGCGCTCCTGGCTGGCGCAGGAAGGCATACATTGTGTGGTCCTTCACGGGAACTTCAGGGGGTCCCAGAATCCCTTGCGGTATATGGGGAGTTCGTTGGGATTTTGTCGGACTTGGTCGACATCTGGCCGAGATCTGGACAGAATCTTGACGAAAGGGTGAAGTGGGGTCGCCGAAATCTGGAGGAGCCCCGGTCGAAGTCACGCTCATGACAGGGACGCGGAGGTCTCCAGAGTCCCCCTTGGAGGCTCATCCAGCAGACACACATGCCGATCCTGGGCCCAGGGTCGGGCCTGAGCAGTATCTGCGTCGGTGTGCAGTCTTGAGATCCGACGTTGCAGCAAAACCTTGCCACATCGCAGAAGACAGCACGACTGGAGCACCAGGCCCCACCTTTCTGCGCCAGTTCTCGAGCCAGGTCGATCTGTGAGGGTCCCCGGGCCCGATGAGAAGCGAAAACGCCCGCTGTGAAAAGATCTCGGGGTCTCAGGATCTCAGGGATCTCAGGGTCAGGATCTCAGGGTCCCCAGACCCCCGACGTCATGATTTGTTCATGACGCGACCCCCAGAGGTCTGGACCTGTTCGCCGGGACCAGTTTTTCATCCCGAGTTGTTCTTTGACGGTCCCGAGGGCCGGTAAGGGGGCCGAAAATATAGAAAAACCTTCCTTCGTGATTTTTTTTTTCATGGCTCGAGGAGGTCTGGGCCCCAGGACCTCAGGGTCGCCGCCGACCTGCAGCGCCAGGATCTCGGGGTCCCCTCGAGGCGGTGGCGAGCCCACCGCCTTCCGGAGCGCCCCGCGCCTCGTGCTCGGCGGCGGCCGCCGCGTGCCGGGTGGAGTTCTGCGAGGCTCAGGAGGGGAACAATGTATGTATGTATGTATGTATGTATGTATGTATGTATGTATGTATATATGTATGTATGTATGTATGTATGTGTGTATATATATGTACATACACGCAAGTGCATATATACATATGTACACATATATGTATGAACACACACGCGCATATATATATGCACATACACATATACATATACATATGCATGCATGAATGCATGCATGTATGCATGCATGCATGTATGTATGTATGTATGTATGTATGTATGCATGTATGTATGTCGGTATGCATGCATGCATATATGTATGTATGCATGCATGTATGCATGCATGTATGTATTTATGCATGCATGTATGCATGCAGGCATGCATTTATGTATGCATGTATGTATGTATGCATGCCTGTATGTATGTATGGATGCATGTATGCATGCATGCATATATGCATATATGTATGTATGCATGCATATATGTCTGTCTGTCTGTCTGTATGCATGTCTGTATGTATGCATGCATGCATGCATGCATGCATGTATGTATTTATGTATGTATGTCTTTATGTAAGTATGCATGCATGCATGCATGTATGCATGTTTGCATACATGCATGTATGTAGGTATGTATGCATGAATGTATGCATGTATGTATTTATGCATATATGTATGTATGCGTGCATGCATGCATGCATGCATGCATGCATGCATGCATGTGTGTGTGTGTGTGGGGGGGGGGGACAGAGCCACACCGACACAACGAATCGTCGATTCACAGGGAACTATGGGAAGTGGGGGGGAAGACGAACGCCCAGAAGATGTGAGAACATATGGGGACATTGTGCGTATATCTATTTCTGTGTGCCCCTGGCCCAGACTCCCGACGTCATGATTTTTTCATGACGCGATCCCCAGCGGTCTGGACCTATTCCCCGGGACTGGTTTTTCATCCCGAGTCGCTTTTTGACGGTCCCGAGGCTCGGTAAGGGCCCCCAGAGGCCAGAAATAGCGAAAAACCTCCCGTCGTGATTGTTTCATGACCCGAAGGGGGCCTGGGGGGCCCCTTCCGAGAGGCCGCCGACGGCGCCCTCGCCGGCTACGCCGAGGCCACGCTGCGAGGCCTGGAGCCGGCGAAGGCCTACAGCCTCTCCGTGCGCGTGGCTGGCGCCAGCCCGGGCGGCGGCCCCGGCCGCGGCTCCCAGCCCCGGGTGCTGTTCGGAGTGTCCCTGGCCCATGGGTGTCCCCAGCAGTTCTCATGGCGCCAGCATCCCCAGACCCCCTCAGGTCGCGAAAAACTCACGACGGGAGGTGTCTCCCCATTTTCGGCCTCCGGGGGCCCTCGCCGGGCCTCGGGCCCGTCAGAAAACGATTCAGGATGAGAAACCGGTCCTGGCGAATGGGTCCGGACCTCCGGACCTCCTGGGGGTCGCGTAATGAAAAAATCATGACGTCGGGGGTTTGGGATCGTAGAGCGGTTTTCGCTCCGAAAACGATAGGATGGGCCTGGGTGTCCTGGAGAATGTCGCTCCGGATTTCGTGGTGAATTTGTGCGGATTGTTTTTGGGCTAGGAATGAAGACTAAAAGGATTCTACGCGAAATTCACGTCGTTTTTCACTTCGCTCGCCGTTTCGGGGTCTTGCATTGGCAGAGATCTACGCAAAAATCCGCTGCAGCACGTCTGCAAGGTCGGTGCAGTGACAGTTCGCTTCCTCTTTCGAAGAAGAAAAACGCCATAACCAGAGCACCCCTCACAGGGCGCAGAGGGCCTCATGGGGGCCAGAGCAGAAGAGGGCAAGAACGCCCTAAACAGAAACTTTTGGCGGGGGGCCCAGCGCAGATCCAAGGAATCCGCCTAGGGTGTCCCCAGCAGTTCGCTTTTCCTCCCCAGACCCCGGACCGTCAAAAAACGATTCAAGATGAAAAGCCGGTCCTGGGGAATGGGTCGGGGCCTCTGGGGGCCGCGTCGTGAAAAAATCATGACGTCGGGGTCTGGGATAGGAGGTTGATAGACCTCCTACCCTGACGCGTCGATTCGCGAATTGGCCGGTCTCGGTTCGCTAGAGGGCGTCGCGGCCGTCATTTTTGCGGGTCCAGGTCCGTCGGTTTCGGTCCCAGGCCGTTTTCACTAAAGGGTGGTTTGCTAAAGGGAGGTTTGTCCACCGCCGAAAAAAACACCATGAACCAGAGCACCCCTCACAGGGCCGAGAGGGCCTGAGGGGGGCAAGAGTAATTAGAAGAGGTCAAAAGCGCCGTGAACAGAAACTTTCGGCGGGGGGGCCCAGCGCAGAGCCAAGAACTCCGCCCAGCGTGTCCCCGGCAGTTCGCTTTTCCTCCCCAGACCCCCCCCTCGCGTGTGGACAGCAATCACGACGAGTGGTTTCTCGCAACTTTCGGCCTCGGCCGACCTTCACTGAGCTTCGGGACCGTCAAAAAACTACGCAGGAGGAAAAACCAGTCCCGGGGAGTGGGTCCAGACCTTCCTGGGGGTCGCGTCATGAGAGATCATGATGTCAGGGGGGCTGGGTCTTGCCCGGCCCTGCGAGGGGTGCTCTGGATCGGAGGCTGCCAGAAGGGTTCCTTGGACAATGTTGGTTTTGCTGAGCCTGAGGAGCACGAATGATGTGGCAAGTTCGAGCTGGTGCCACGGTTTGCCCAGATTGTGCCGCCCCTGTGCTTCTGCCCTGCGCGTGCTCAGACCTGGGCAGCACCGCGCTGAAAGTAAGAGTGACAAGCTTAACCCGAGGCCCCCCCCCAAGTCCGACCCGAGGCCCCCCCAGCTGGACCTGAGGCGCCTCAGCAACCGTCGAAACCACCCTCCTTTCACCGGACCTCCTCCCCGTTCCCGGCTATAGAGGCTGTCGGGGCCTCCCTGGAAGTCCTGTGCACACCCTGGGCCAGGGACGCCTCTATAGCAGCGCCCGACCGGCCCGTGGCCCTGCCGCAGCGGGAGGCGCCCGAGCGGTGGACCGAGCACGAGGTGCAGGCCTGGTGCGCGGTTCAGCGCTGCCCAGAGCTGCCACGTGCCGCGCGCGACTACGCCATCAACGGCAGGACTCTGCTGTCGCTGGGCGAGGACCGGCCACGCGCGGAGGGGGGGGGAGGGGGGAAGGCGTCTTGGAAGCACTCCTGCTTCTCCGAAGGCGCGGGCCTCCTCTACAGGTGTAAGGCTGGCGCCTTCTGAGAAGCAGCCTTCTTCTAAGGAGCCTTCCCCCCTCCCTCCACCCCCTTGTGCGCGCCGCCCAGAGGAGGACCTCAAGGCCCTCGGCATCACCGCGCCCTTCCTGCTGCGCCGGGTGCTGGAGGCCATCGGCGCTCTGCGGCGGCGCTCCGGCAGCTGATCCTGTCGGCCGCCCCGCCGGGCCCGCCAGTCACCGGGCCCTTTCCACGACTTGCAAAGTGAATACTCGCGAGCGTCCGAACAACATGTGATTGCCTCGATGTAATCTATCGTAGATCCCCCGCGGTGGATCCAGGCCATTTGCGAGTAGTTACGTTGCGAGTAGTGGAACGCGCTTGTTTAGCCACACGCGTATCTCGCGCCGAGTCCTCCTGAGGGCGAGTCTGGCGCGGGGCCCGCGCGCGGGAGGGTCTGTGTGTGTACCCTCTCCCTGCTCGCCGCTCCACGGCGACGCACCTCGCCATGTGAGTGCCCTCCCCTCCCTCCCTCCTCGCGGCTGCTTTCGCCGCCGCCGGTAAATTTGCGCTTTCCGTTGCCTGGGCCGTCGTCTGAGCGCGCGGGCTGCCTCTGCCGCGCTGCGACGCGAAAGTGTACCCTCTCCTCTCATCCGCTGCCCTTTCCGCCAAGGTGTTGGCATAGGTCCACACTTGATCACCTCCGCCTGCCAAAGGAGACAGCATCTGTCGCCTTCATCCTACGGACCATTGGTGTGGTTGGCTCTCTCATCCTTCCCTCTCATTCACAGGTTCAGTCGAAGAGTACGCATCGGCGTAGACAGAAAGGTTTCAGAGGTCCTCTCGGATCGATCGGAACGGCGCTGGACCCCTCTGGCGGGCGCTTCAGGGAGGGGGGTCTATCGCCGATCTAAGAACTTCGCGCGGTCTCCATTAGTCTAGGATTGTGTATAATATTCTTCATCCAGTCAGGTGAGCAAGAGAGGGATAATGATTTTGTTTTTCTGCAGCGCGCCATGCCGCGTGTCGCTCGCTCGTTGCTGTGCCGCGTGGTGCAATATGACGGTACCGTGCTATGCCGTGTGATTTCGTGTTATGCGGTCTTGCTATGCAGTTACCGTGTGGTGCCGCGAGGTGTCGTAATGGGCCTTGTGTCGCCATGCAGTTTGTTTCTATAGCGCGCGGTTGTGTGTGATACTGTACCACGTGGTGCTACGTGGTGCGAACATGCATCGGCTGTCGTATGATTTCGCCAGCTGCAAGCCGTGTTGGCTTCGTTACGCACAACCACGTTTCTCAGCAACCTTCGTACCTCCTCCTTTTCGCCCTCCTTCCCCCAGACACGATCAGATGCTTTTGACTAGCTCACCGCGGTCTTTCTTCGGTCTCACTTGGGTGCTCGCGAGAGCGTCTCATGGGTAAGCTGAGTGGTGCTGCGATGGGGTACACAGCAAAAGTTGCGCCTCGAGCCATCTCTCATTTGACGCTGGAATCTTTGCTGCTGGCTCTCTCTCTCTCTCTCTCTCTCTCTCTCTCTTTTTTTGTTGTTTCTCTCTCTCTCTCTCTCTCTCTCTCTCTCTCTTCTTCGGCTGGCAGCACATTATTCCAATCGCAGAAACCTTGCATGGATGTTAGGGCTGTAGCTGAAGTGTTGTAATGCATGCGTAATCTTTGTCTCTCACTCTCCACTTTTTGTCTCTCTCTCTCTCTCTCTCTCTCTTTCTCTCAGGTTCCCCATCCAGCGACCCCCCCAGAGCTTTGATTTTATCCTCCTTCTTCTCATCATCCCATCATCCTCCTAATCTTCCTCATCCTCATCCCTTTCGATCGGTGCACTGTCCTCAGCCTCATAGTCCTCATCCTCCTCATCTTCCTCATCTTCATCCTCTCCTCATCTTCATCTCATCCTCCTCCTTCCTCATCTTCCTCATCATCCTCATCCTCCTCATCCTCCAGCGCTTGGGGAGGACACCGAGCATATGTTAGGATTATTCATCCTCTTCCTCCGCCTCCCTCTCCCCCTCCTCCACGTCCTTGCTCCCCGCGTCCTACAGTGAGTTTCAAAGTTGGCTTCAGCCGGTTTGCCATGACCTGCCTTCTTCTCACAACCTTCCCTCAGAGAAGGAGCGAGCAAGAGGACGAGGAGGAGGACAAGAAGGAGGAGGAGGAGGATGAACGGTAGGGGATAGGGGCCTGCGTACACCGCGCTCGTTTCTATACGCCTGGGTGGGTGTATGTGCGGCCGCTTTTGCGCTGGCATGTGTGCGCATGCGCGCGGCATATGCCCGGCATATGCGGGCCTTCTGGGTTGGACGTCCTATTGTGCATGCGCGCCCAGACATGTGCAGGGTCATGTGCGCTGGATTTGGTGCATCTTTTGTCCGCGCATGCCGACGCGCATGCCCGCACATGCTTTCACATGCGGAAGGTGTGCGATTATCGCAGATCTGTCAGCGGCAAATGCACGCACAAGCCTGAGCAATGTCCCTGCGGATGACCGCGCGGGCCCGCACATGCACGCATTTGCGTTGAAGCCCGCGTCCGCTCATGCTCGCTCATGCCGACGCACTTGCCCGCACGTGCCCTCGGAGTTGTCTGGGGTCCCTAGGAAAAAGTACATCCAATGCCTTGTGGCCTTCGCAGAGGTTCCTGGGGCGTACCAGGGCTTTCCACAGATTCCGCTGCTGCTGCTGATGAGGGGAATGATGAGGAAGATGATGACGATGCTAATGATGATGGTGGTGGTGATGAGGATGAGGATGAGGATGAGGATGAAGATGCGGATGAGGACGAGGATGGGGATGATGATGCTCCTGATGATGATGCAGATGATGTTTGATTATTATTATTATAACCCGTTTTTTAGCAGTATTAGTGTTAGCGCTTGTATTCGTACCATTATTACCATTATTTGTAGTAGTCATATTACTTATAGGTTTTTGCATTCTTTTTCATTGTGACCACTATTCTTAAATAGCTCTTGCCATTTGTATTATTGCACCACCTACTAGCATTATGTATACTGCTATTGTTTTTCTTAGTTGCATTTTTATCTGTAGTTTGTAGTATTCGCGTTATTCGTACCACTATCAGTATCATCATTCGATTACCATTACCAGTATCATTTTCAATATGCCATCATCATTATCATTATTATGAAACCTTTCTCATTTACCATTTTTCACCTGGTATGTATTTTTCTTATGTTTTAACCTACTTGTTATTTTGGATTATGGCTATCATTCGTATTATTGTGGTGGTGGTGATGATGATGATGATGATGATGCTGATGATGATGATGATGATGATGATGATGATGATGATGATGATGATGATGATGATGATGATGATGATGATGATGATGAGGAACATAATTGGCAGAAAGAGCAGGAGGAGGCGGAGAAGCAGGGGGAAGGGGAGCACGTGGAACCAGAGGAGGTAGTAGGAGGACCATGGGGGTTGTGATGACGAGGACCGATGAGGAGGATAATCAATCCACGATGGTGATAATTGGTGGTGCTGATGACAAACACGAAGGTGTCGGCGGGAGGAGCACCACGGTTCCGATGATGAGGAGGAGGAGGCGGAGGCGGAGGAAGGATGAGGAGCAGGACGCAGGACACGATGATGAGCAGCGGCCGACTGCACCCTGAGCCCCCCCCTTCAAAGTGTGCTTGCTCGAGCCTGCCAGCGGCGCCCAGGGCGGCTGCTCTGCCGGGGCTCCCCCGGGGGGCCCTCCGCGGGCGCCGATCTCCTGCAGGGCGCGCGCCCTGCCGCTTTTCGGCTGCCGATGCCACTCGTCCTCCACGTCGTCGTCGTCGTCGTCGTCGTCCTCCTCCTCCTCCTCTCCTCCTCCTCCTCCTCCTCCTCCTCCTCCTCCTCCTCCTCCTCCTCCTCCTCCTCCCTCCTCCTCCTCCTCCCT